ATAATTTGGGATGTGCATGTATTTGTATTTAGTGCAGGAGGAGGTGAAGGAGGACAAGGGTATTGGAGCAGAGTGAAAAATGCACCCTGAGGAAAAACCTTTGTGAACAACGAGAGTAGAAAAGCATGTGGTATGTACAGGGAATCCTAAATAATTCAATTAAATGCATGAAGGAAAACAAAGTTAACCAAAAACAAAAGAGCCAGGCTATGTTTTTGGAATTTTTTTTTTTTTTTTTTTTTTTTTTTTTTTTTTTTACAAAAGCAAGAGAGTGGCTTTGAAGGTTTTTAAGCAAAAGAGTAAAGTGACCTAAACTATGTTCCAAAAATATTTAACTGTATGCAGGAACATATGCAGGAACATAGTAGAAGTAAGACCGTTAATTAGATGCTATGGGAATAGTTCAGGTGAGAAGTAATCAAGGCTTAACATGGAGCAGCAGATATAGACATAAAACAAATACAAATCTCTTTCTGGGTCACTATCCACGTGCTCTAATCCCCTTTACAACAGGAACCAGAGCCTTTTGAAATTATCCAAACAAGCCAATTCTAAACCTGTTTGTTCTGCTTTGTCTATTCCTCCCACAGAAACCACAATAAAGGTTCTTGCCCATGTTTCCTCTTGCTTGTTCTATCTCCTGACTGGCCCTTGTACTTTCCTATGTGGAACCCTGTGTGGCATGGCATACCATGCCTCCTTTTTCTATAGATCCATGAATATTAAAAAAATATTAAAAAAAAGACTTCTCCCTCATAAGAGTCATTTCCATGCCTATAAAACATAAAAACATATCTTAGGCACCCTTAAAAGATAGCAGATACAGAACTAATAGGACTTGGTAACAGATAATAACAATGCCACTTAAACTTTAAATTTCAAAGAACATCCACCTGTATTTTATAATTTAATTCTTATAATAACTTGTAAGATATTTAAAGTCACATTTTAGAAGTAAGAAAGCTTAAACTCAAAGGCCTATTTAAATGCTCAAACTCGTCCAATAATTCAACTGTTTCTTTATTTGTACATTAAGGTTAATAATAGTACGTATCTCATACAGTTACGGTGGGGATTAAGTTAGTTTTCTAAAACAGTTAAAAAGTTCAATTGTAGACATGTTCATATTAGATATCAGTGATATCTTGGTGTAGCTGTCTGGTGGCAGTTCAAAATGCAAGAGTAAAGTGAATTTCAAGGAACAGAAGTTAGAGTTGGAGATTCAGATTTGAGAATCTTTGCATGGAGATGATAGTAAATGAACAGAGTCCTAAAATAAAAACCTAAAGGCACAAAGGGAAGGTAACAGAGCTAGAGGGAGAAGCTGGAGATAAAAGAAACCAGAAAAGTGGCATTTAGACCAGTAATAAGTGAGCCAATAAAGCTCAGGGTTGAGGAGAGGAAGATCAATATTGTCAAATGCTGCAGAGAGGCAGAAAAGGTAAGAAAGCCCATTGAATTTGATGACTTTTGAAAGCTTTCAGTCACTCGTTACTGACCTTTGAATAGAAACAGAGACAACAGACTGCAAGGGTTAAAGAATGAACGTAGATGTTTCTGGTTCAACATGTAAAGACCACAAGTCACCAATCTTGTTTTTATCACAAGAAAGACTTAGCAAACTGAAAATCAACAGGTCTCTTTAGATCCATCAGATCAGTTTATAGATAAACCACTGGCCCCAAAGTTGGACAAGCAGGAGAAAGAGAATCACAATTTACTAGGAACAAACACTGCAACTAGGGTGTTCGGTAGGAAATAATAGGTAGTGAATGGTAGGAAAACTTAAAGTGTAATTGACTGCTGGAGACTGAGTGTAAACTAATTTTAAAGATAAAAACTCCCAGGGCCCAGTCTCACTCACCGAGCCCTACAAAGACACCCATCAGCCTCTCAGGAAGATGATCAGAGAAAAATGCCCTCATAATTCCAGCATGGGAATAGGACATAACCATTCTAAAATATACAAAATGTTCAGTTTTCCTTAACAAAGGTCTGGATTCAAGGAAAACTATTTTAGCAGAGCCTAATCAACATGGGGGAAGGGAAATAAATACACAACTCCAAGTTTTCCTCTACATTTCTTGTTCTACCTGAGGAGGAAAAAAATATGAGAAAGACTTTTGAAGGTCATAGCTCAAGGTCAAAGGTCCACTAAAAGACTAAGACCTAATTATAGGATTATGGAACATTTTCTCTCCCCTCAATATCTTACCATCACACCAATAGGTCTCCTTCCTGTACAATAACAGGGGATTGAAATGGGAAGAGCTGCAAGGCTCAGGCTCCAAGGAGTCTCTAGGGGAATGTAAAAAAAAAAAAGAGAGAGACAAGAAGGACACTGGAGGAAATTGAAGCCTCATAAACCTACTGCTACAGTAAACACAGCCTAATTCCTAGCCAGATAAACATAAAATCTCACACTAAAGGCTTATTTACTTTAGTTCATATTACATGATGCAACATGTTCAGCTTTTAAACAAAAAATTATACAGCACATCAAAGGGCAAAAAACAGTCTGAAGAAACAAAGCAAGCATCAGAGCAGACTAAGATATAGTAGAAATTTTGGAATTGCCAAGATTGGGAATTTAAAATAATTATTCTTAATATGGTAAGAAGGCTAATGAAAAAAAAAGTGGACAGGTAACATGAAAACTCAAAGAACTGAAAGGAAATGCATAAATTTGTAAGAAAGTAGAATAGAGGGACTGGACAGAGAAGTGGGATAGGGGCATTGAAGAAAGACTGGCTGTTTTATCATGCTGGGAGATTGTTACGCATGGCAAACACCTAATACAGAAAAAATGGGAGAAAGTAAAGAAATGTTAAATACATGTTTCATGAGATCCTTTCCAAGATCAGCATTAAATCTAAAAGGAAGAAGATGAGAAATAACATATTAGGTCATACAAATGGTTGTAATTTTAAAATCTAAAATTTTGCTTTGACTGGATAACATGGCTATCTCAAAAAGGGAAGGTTATACTACTTCCCACCTGATTCTTTCCATAATAGGTAATCTGTTATGAATCTGGCATTATTTAAGAAATCCCCAAGAGAATTCATGAATTCAGCTTAATTTTACTTTGAGATTTCCATACCTATAAGTATAAACAAAAACCAGACAGGATGCACAGTAACCAATATTACTCACATACATTATTCATTCGTTCAGTCAGCAAATAGAATGCTTTCTTCATTCAAGGCAATAGCAGTGAACAGAACAAAAATGTCTGCCCTATGGAGTACCATAGTTTGGGTGAAGACACACTGATGAACATGTATATTATATACCAAGTAGAGATAAGTTTTATAGATAAGTTTAAACCAAGGTTGAGGAACTGGAAGTGCTGGGAATTAGAAGTATTATATTACTTTATGAGAAGTGGTTAGAGAAGGACTTTTTGATAAGATGACATCTGAAGGAAATAAGTGAGTCATGAAAGTATGTGGGGGTGCAATATTCCAAAGAACAGCAAATGCAAAAAAAAAAAAAAAAAAACCTCCACAAAAAGACAGCAAATGCATTGGCTGTAAAGTGGGAAAATAATGTGTCTGATATTGTTGTGGAACAATCAGCCAAAGGGAAGAGTCCAAAGTGAGAGATCCTGTGGGGCTCTGTAATTATGAGTTTTTACTGAATGAAATGGAAAAAACTGGAGGGTTTTGAGAAGAGCCATAGTGACTACCATGTGTAGGGTGATAGTAAGAAGACCATTTAGGTGGTTACTATAATGTTACAGGGACTTCTATTAGTCTTGATTTATTTTGCAGGTAAAAATGATAGAATCTGCTGATGGGAGTGGGGCATTAAAGAAGCCAAAAGAAACTGCAGAGTTTTTTTACTGAGTAACTAGAGGAGCAGAAATTGCTATCTAATGAAATGGCAAAGACTGCAGAGTAGAGAAGAGGGGGAAATAAGGTTAGTTCTGCATATGAATTATGAGATGCCTATTAACTTCTAAGTACAGATGTTGATTTTCTTAAAGTCTGGTTTTTGGAAGAGGTGCCGGCTAGAGATATAAATTTATGAATCATCAGTGTACAGGTGATTTTTAAAGGCATAAGAGTGAAGGAAAGGGGTCTAAAGACTGACTGCAGCAGCACTCCAATATTTAGATATGGGAAAGAAGAAAAGGTACCACCAAAGTATTTTGAAAAGAAGTAGCCACAAAACAAGGAGAGAACTAGGGAGGAGTGGGGTCCCAGAAACCAAATGAAATGATTCAAAACGAGAAGCGGAAGGGCTAAGAAACTGAGAAATAAGACCTTGCATTTCGATGGGCGCCTATTGCCGACCTTCACACACACACACACAAAAAAAACAAAAAACCACGATTTCGGTGGAGTGGTAGAATGGACAAAAGGCCCTGACAACCATATTCAAGGGAGAATGTAAGGGTCTCTCCCAGGAACTTTCAGAGTCCTGTTAAGAATGATAAGCTGGGCTGCAGATTGGAGGAGAGATGCTGAAGGTCTGAGAAGAGAGAACAAAAGTGGTCTGAAGTGTAGGAGAGCGGATGAATGAGGAAACTTTGGTGCGGCTGCTGGGGCAGCACCAAGGCATCTTTCGAAGTTTGCAAGCAAAACAAGTCCTCAGAGCGGTGCGCTCTCCTCCAGCTTCTCTCTCCAGTGTTGCAGAAACGGCAGAACGTCCTTAGCAGGACGAAGGCAGGAGGCAGAAAACACCTGGACCACAGAGCACAGTGAACCTGCGGACTGAATGGGGGCAACCAGCTTGACCGGCTGACCGGAGAAACCACCCCAGGAGTGCCGGGAGGGAGAGCGGTTCTAAACAAAGTAGATCTTTTCCCGTAGGGCGAACACGGCAGTTGGGGGGCGGGGTGGGGGGTCAATAAGGCCGCACGAGGCCAAGGAAGGGGACACTGAGGCAGGAGAGCTCCGAGGGCCGTCTGAACACGGATGCAGCAGCCCGGATCTAAAAGAGCTCCGTCAGGGACCCAGAAGGATGGACTAAGTTCTCAGCGCCGGACTTACAGCCAGAGGTTCTGCTGCTTGCGGCTGTTTCCTGGAGAGGTGGGCATGGTGGCGACAGGCGGCGGAGTGCTCGCCCCCCCTTCCCTAGCTGCTTCCGGAGTCCCTGTACCCCAACGCCCGGCGTCAGCGGCTCGGGCTGAGGCTCGGGAATGTTTGCCGGGCGTCATGGAGACGGAGGAGCCCCGGCTCAACAAGCGGCCGCGCGGTTGGCTGGCGGCTGGAGACCGAGAGGAGGGCGGAGGCGAAGGGGAGGGCAGAGGGTTGGTGGAGCAAGAGGAAGCTCCGGACGACGACTAGAAAAAGGAGGCGGGCGGCCCGGGCCCCAGGCCCCTCCCAGGTTCTGAGTCTCCCCGGCTGCAGGCGGATGGATGGGGCTTCTTCAGGCGGTGGCGGCAGCAGTGAAGGTGGCGGCGGCAGCAGCGGCAGCGGCTGTAAGTGCAGCCTCCATACACCATCTCTCCTCTCCTAGTCCTGATTGGGATGAGGGGCTCCTAAGGTGTCCCCGGTCCCCTTTCTCCCTCTCCCCTCCCCCACCGTAGAGCACCGCCCGGAAGACCCTTAACTTCCGGGGAGGGGCTGCAAGAGAACGCGCCCGGCCCGCTCCCCCCTCCCGGAGGGCGCCGCCCCCCCCCGAGGCGCATGCGCAGCTGCCCTCCTCCGCGCTCCCCCTCCCAGCCCGGTCTTTTGCTTTGGTGGTGGTGGCAGCGGCGGCGGCGGCGGCGGCGGCGGCGGCGGCGGCGGCGCGCTGGGAATCCGCTGCGGTGTGAGTTCGTCTCGCCCAGTTTGCTTCCGCCCCTTTCTCCTGTCGGCCCCGAATACGGTCGGGGTGGGGCTAAGCTGACCATCCCCCCTGTGGCTCCGCCTCTTTTCCCCTGTAGATCCGGGTTCGGTCCCAGCCCCTGGGAGGCTCCTGCTTGCACTGCAGTGCCCCGTGGTGAGCGGGGTCCTGGGCGGGCCAGCCCATTTCGGAAGGGAGTGAGGGAGGGGAGAGACACTGGAAGAGGGCATTAAGATGAAGGAACAAGGCCCTGCCAGTCCGTGGGAAGATCCCTGGGGACAGATGCCTACCCCTCCTTGAAATGGCCTTGTTCTTGCAGCTTTTCGTGGAAAGACCTCTGGCTTGGAGCCCATCTCTGGTCCCCGTTTGCTGTGTGACCTTGGGCAAGTCACTGCCCCTCTCCGGGCCCCTGTTATCCCTAAAGCTTCCTCCAACGCTTAAACTCTTAATTTTGCAGAAAAGCTTATGCAGTTACAAGACTGGCCCTTCTACTGAGGCCGCTTAGCCCAGATGACGCGGAGTTGACCGAACCTTCTTTCTTCAGTCATGGATGGAAGGAGGCGACCTATTTATTGGGCCGCTTTTATTCCTTGACCGTCGGTTACAAATTGCATGTCTCAAGGCTAATTAATGTTTTCCTAAAATTGTCATGGGATCCTTGTCCTAATTCTTGGCTATCTTTTAAAAATTAGAGACAGGCTGAGAATTAGAGACGTGGTGAGCTTGTGGTATCATCGTCTCTGGTCTCGTTACTACTGAGGCTCTCTTTCTTTGATCCAGATGGTGTGGTGGCTCGATTCTCCCAGTGCCTGGCTGAGTTTCGGACGTGGTTAAGAACCAACTGGTTGAGGTTCAATGCAGACAAGACGGATGTGATGCTGGTAGGCAGGGGCACACTTGGAGATTAAGGGAGGGAAAGTCCAAACTCCCTCAAGTAATATAAATACTCCGTTTACCCTTTCTGTATATTCCAGTGTTTGAGAATTGATGATAGGCCAATAATTTCCAGAGTTGGGGGTGAGATAAAAATAACATGTCAACAATATTAGGGCTATAAAAATAACATTTTGTGATAATCTGATAAAGTGGGGTCATTCGATAAAACTCTTTATGTAAAAAAAAAAAATTATGGAAAAAAAAAAAACCCTGTTACTTGAAGAAACAAAAGGCTATGTAAGTGTTTTGGGGTGGCATTAATAATAAAAACTAAACTAACAAAAAGATGATGCTGATTCTTGCATAGATGTGGGGCTTCCGAATGTATTGCATTACTGCTTTGTAACCTGCATTCTGCGTACTAAAGTAAAGGTAAACTCTCAATTTATCAGATACCCTTTTTAAATTTTTTGATATGCAGGTATTTTCAACCAAATTAATAGATATTTGTCAATTTTTACCTGCATTTCATGTGTAGGTTGACACTTTCAAATAAAAATTTTAGTAAATAGTCTACCAATCTCAGAAGGACTCACAGACTCTGAAAATGGTTAGGTAGAGAATTTGTTTTTAAGATTTTGAATCTGCTGCATTCAAACAGTCCTAGAGCCTGAATTGTTACAGGTATTTTCTTGGAGCATTATGAGAGGTTCCTGGGTTGCATAACATTTTGTTTATGTAGTATAGGTATATATCTTATATTTGAGTCAAGTATTGGTCCTGAATAAAAGGTTATATTTCTTAGGTATATGTAAACTGCCAAAGACTTTTATTTATTGGTTAGTTTAAGGTACTGGTTGAAGTAAAATTGTGACCTTAAAAGGCTTTTGTTAAAACCAAAATAATAATTGAAAGGGGTGTGTGTGTGTGTGTGTGTGTGTGTGTGTGAGAGAGTGAGTGTGTGAGATAGCCTCTATAAAAATATTTAATGACTTTTAATGGAGTATCTAGTAAATTGCTTAAAAATGATTTCCAAATATGATAGCAGTTTTGAGAAACTTAAATGTGGTGAAAGTTAATGTTAGTTTGCCTGAAAATAAGGAAGCCTTTAGGTGGGGAATGGGAGCTCAAGAGGCATTTATTCAGGCTTTGTACAGTGGTTTTTTTGTTTGTTTGTTTGTTTTGGGACATTAGCCACAAACCTCACATAAAATTGGAATTACCCACACTTTTTAGTTTAACTTTAAAATATTTTATTATCCAATTCTAACAATTACCATTTTAGACATCACATTAATAAATACTATATAAACGGTAATGATTTTAAACAGTTCATAGGTATTGGTGTATTTTTTCATACCTTTAACTCTGTTATGTCTTATTTTTAGGTCTTCTAGTATCGGTAGGCATTAAAGATTTATATTTTGTTAACCTAAGTATAAATATTGATTGTTTGCACTTAAATACAAAGAAGACATCTGTTGAATTAATCCAAAGTGCTGAAAAACTCAGGGAAGTGGATGGAAGTAACAAGGAGATAGATTCTGGTTTAATAAAAAGAAGAATGTTCTAAACGTACAGCTTTTTCTGAAAAGAGCAGCCTCTTCATCAGACAGTAAGTCATTGAAGGTGTTTTAGCATAGGCAGAAAAGCCTGATAGTGGGGACACGTAATGAGGGATTCCTATCTAGACAAGGTAGAAATTGACTAAAAGACCTCTAAGGTCCCATCCAACACTAAGATGGTGTGTGGCTCATGAATGTTAATTTTCATATATTTGATACTGAGGAGGTAAGCAAGAGTTTTTGAGAAAAACTTTACTTTCCTTAAAGTGGTTAAATTTTGAAGGATAAGTATATCATGAGAATAAAATGGGAATAAAACCATACTGAATTCATTAGTAATGTGTTACTAATGACTTAACAATATTGGAGCTATTTCTAACTTTATATATTTTTAGACTATCTAAGCCTAAAAAAAGGACTGAACCCACATTTACTAAAAAGGGAGGAGAAAAACATAGAGGGAATTTTCCCTCTAAGTGATGCCACTTAAAATTAATAAAAATGATTCACAATATTAATAAACTTAAAAGTCATTTATCGGTAAGAAGGATTCCCTTCAAATAAGTCCCAGATCCGATTTTCCTGACAATTTCAGAATTCATTCTGTAGCCTAAGGGGCCATGATCCCCAGCTTTTTAATCATAATTGGGATTTTTTTTTGTTGAGGTTTAACTTAAGAATCAAAGAGTAAATGGGCTTAAGCAAGCAAGTTATTCCTGTACCTTGCATTTTGACAATACTTTTTAATTTCTGTGAACTAAATTTCATATATTAGTTTAAATGGAAAATCCTCCTTTATCCCATGTTATTTTAAAGCCTGAGTTTCTACCTCTAGGCCCCTTATTCTGTCTTTACCCACCCCAGGTCTATGCACATCAATTGTTCTTTGTCTCCAGCTGTTTTCCATCAAACATCTCAGAGTGAAAACTATTTAAACAGAAACTGACTTTTCAGAAACTGTTTTTTGAGTCCAAAGGACTAAGGTAATTCAGTAGGGTAACTCTATGTACCTGTGCTAAAATATTTATTCTCCCCCCAAGGAATCCTGAAAAACACTTTTATAAAAGTATTCTAAAAAAATAAAATGAAAATACTGTACAGTACAGTTAATGGTAAACATTGTTTGTAGATTTGGGAACCTTAAAGTTTTCCTTTCTCTTCTTTCCCTTGCTTTTCTTTCAGTAGAAAATGTGCATCAGATGTTTATGTTTAATTGGTTTACAGACTGTCTGTGGACTCTTTTCCTGTCAAATTACCAGGTAATGTCCTTTCACTTAGCAGCTACTTCATATACCTGTAAATGCACAAATTATTCATGCACAAATTATTATCGGACATAAGAATTTCAAGTTAATGTTGAATCTTTGGAAAAAGGAAACTGCTTAATAGAGCGTAGAATTTTAAGGGAATACAAATAATTTAAGAAAACAGCCCATATTGCATTGTAAGTTGAGTATTAAAGAAAAATTGTAAATGTGCACATTTATGCAGTGTATGGTGGTGCTGGCATCACATTATTTGGAAGGAATGACTTTATATTTGGTTGATTTGGGTAATCATTTTTGAAATTGCATTAAGAACCCTTGAACATTTAGGGGAAAACAATCTTTTTGAAATTAAGATTTTTAAACTCCTGGTTGAGTAAAATATGTTAGTGCATGTTTTAATATCACCTTTGCATTAGCCAGTATCTGCCTTAGTAGTGGAAGGGAAACATGTTTGTTATTTTGCAATCATTGTCGGTGCAGTCATGAGAATTGGCGTTGAAGGCCAATTGGCAGTTAGTTCTAGGCCAAAATTTTAAAATAAACTTTCAAATTGCTGGCATTTCAGGCATTGCAAATAAGCAGGTTTTCCCTAAATGCAGTCAAGTCAGAGATTACGTATAGCCATCAAAGAGCAGCTTTTCAGTATCTCGCTTTTAGAAAATTTCTCTTAATTGTGCAAAATCCAAACGTTGCACAATTACGTTGCTCCTGGCA